AACCTTTTGAGACTCTTAAAAAATGAGAATTTTTTGACAATTCGATACTGATCGCTCAGTAAAAATATTGAAGGATGTCTCTGATTACTCACATTGTAGCAAAATACTGTGTACGTGATGTACTATTACGCCCTACAGTCTTGGCTGCTCTTAGTGCCCATGTTAGAAAAATGTGTAATTTCAATACATCCTTTATTCCTTATACACATCAGTAATTTGCATTAAAATGCATTTGTTAACAAATTCACGTCAACATAAAAATAATTTCGCTTGGACACCTGGTTGAGGATGTTTTTTCATATTGCCAATCATTTTTAATTTACTTACGACATAACAGCTTACAAATATTTTCTTTTGACGGTACATTTTCATATAAACAAATTAATAAAGTAATTGAATACAGAAGTAAAAATTACCTTTTTTAATGACATCTCGTTTCAAAGGCTGCATAAGTAACACAACAATGCAAATTAAACAAGTGATAATTGGTACATGGGCAATTACTTCAAGATGTACGGTTTTTGCGTAATATCGCAATATTGGTGATATAAAGTTTTCTCTAATGTTGGGGTGGATTAAATCGACAACTTTTATATTTAAATGAAATAAGCAGCTACACTATAAAAAGGTTTCAACCTTAGTATTTGGAAGAAAAAAAATATCTCTGTTAAAATGATAATTTTGAAATTCAACAATTTCTGTACGAAATTGAAATTGACCCATTATGTTTCATGTCAAACTAGAATGCATCGGAAAGCATCTCCAAAAATTTTTTGGTGAATCGAGATGCAAAGAAAGAAACAATTACTCTTTTACCTACGGATATTGTGAGCAACGATATGTAAGTTTTCAATATCAGGAACCCCGCTACAAGTTGATAATACAAATAAACATAATGATATAAATTATTTTGTAGATTATTAATATACCCCATGCCTCCTGCAAGAAATGGCATATGTATTCGTGGAGGACATCTAAGCTGCTTGAACGAAAGTGCTCATGTCAATGACATAATAATTAACCTCTACATGTTGTATTTGTATAACGTTCTTATAACTAAGCAATAACGGGAGAGAAGAGTTATATTAGATTCATTCTTTTACTCTTCGTTAAAGAAGAGGAAATTATCAAAGCCAGGCGCAACAGCAAGAAGAAATAAACCAATCATCAACATATTTTAGAAAGATCTCGTAATAATACCCATCAATAAAGAGTAATTGATTAAATTTTTTTTAAGACTTTATGTATTATTTCATTAGGAACATTTATAAATTAACAGGAAAACATGTCTAAAATTTTAGTATCTATTGGATTCTTGTTATTGTATGTTTCACTTTTCTAGTGCCAGAATTGGCAACAATGAGTCCATTGAAAATGTCAAAACACAGCAACACCATTTCAAATGAGATAAAAAGGTATAAGTATACATTTTTTATATTGTATTTCTATAAGCTTAACCTTCAAAGTTATTAAAAAAAGTTTAAAATGTCTTCAAAGTGAATTATTAGTTGTAGTACTTTTCTTTAAGCTTTTTCTTATTTTGATTGTTTTAAACCGTTGCGCTCTTGAAAAATAAGTGTTTTTACTTGTAACGTATACAACCAAGGCAAACGCAGCAAATACTAGGACCCTGATTTTTTGGTCTCTTGGGAATTTTTATTGCCCTGGTACACATCTAAGCCACAGTTAACATTTATTTGCCGTGGTTGTATAAGCCACATGTAGGAGCTCTAGTTTTCTCACCGAGGGCACAGCAAACGATTAAAAAACTGTAAGGCTTAAATGTGTGTGTCTATGTGTGTATAAGATATTACTAAGTTTTAAACTAAATAACAGAACGTAGTAAAACTAATTATGTTGTTTGTCTGCTATCAATACACAACTGTATGAAAAAACTAAGACCTATAATAAAAGATAATTTTTTGTACGTAGACCCTGCACTTTAATGCTAAATTTTCTTGAAAGTTACACTTCGTCGACTGCATCGAAAACAATACTACAGTTTTTCAATGATAAGTTTCAAAAAGAAACGGGAAATCAAAATACAATATTTAACAATGAAAGTATGATAACATACAATTTACAAGTTGCTTAACAATTTAGTACCACTGACTGTGCCATTTATGTATTAAAATATGTGTAATATTTTTACAAGGTAAGCCTATTTGTATGAATTACGCAACTTCCACAATCATTAATTTTTACTCTTTTACTATAGAATCCTATTTAGAATTTCATCGATTTTCCAAATCTCTTGAACTGGTCTCAACACGAAGAAGTCATCCAAAAACAATGCGAGATTAGGCAACTGATTGTAAACATGGCATCAGACTGTTGCAGTATGTATGGGGCATAAGAAACTTGCATACAATGCAAATTGTGTTCCTTTTGCTATGATTAATATTTCGTGGTCGACATCCAGATCCTGCCTAAAGGTCTGGTAGTACCTAAAAGTATTAGTGTAATTATTAACAACAAAGATTAAATAGAAACTATGCATAGGTAAATGGCTCTTTATCGATGAAATTGTTCAAGACTGCGTTGAGTATAATTATACTGTTTTACTTTTGATTGTTTGACTTTTTTTATGTAAACATACTATACACTTTTAATTTTGTTTCCTTTAAACTCAAACAAATTCCAAAATCATTCAAAGAAAATTAGATTTACTACTTACTTTCAAACAGTTTGAGCGAAGAGACTTACTATCGACGGTATAAACAGAAAGCTACACGATGAGACTTGGGAGTTCCAGCTATCATTGATATGGGTAGGATGCAATTCGATGAGGTTCCTGAGTTTTAGCTGTTATTGATTATTCAATTAAATCCTGGAGAAAACAAACCTTACTGCCTTGGATGTAGGAAAGTACTAAATTTATTATTTGACATTTGTAAAAAAATAATAATAATACATTTGTAAACAAACAAAAAAGTAAAAACATGGGTCAAACAGCAAGACTTGAATCTTCAAAACCAATTACTGCAACATAATTATGTGTTAAGAAATGCAATTGAATGGATGAATTATTCCTTTTTCTTGCATATTAACAACAACAACAAGAACAACAACAACAACAACAACAACAACAACAACATTAAAGAAAACAGAACAGCATTAAGGACTCATTTATTTACAGCACAGTATTAAGATATATAATTTAATGTGGATTACTTATCTGATTTTTTAGCTTATTTCAGCAGTCAGCCTAAAAAGCCTTCTACTAATTTCCACTTCAAGTTTTGCATGCCGTTCAAGATTTATTCAAATAAAAGGCAAAAATAATGTACAACTGTAACAGTTGACCAAGTTCTCCAATGTGCCGGTCTGCTAAAGCTTGACAGCTGATAGCTTTCTCTCAACTCTCGAAATGCTGCAGCCAACCTTTTAACTTAAAAGTAATTATTGTACATAGTATATATATAGCTATAGTACAATGGGCTTAATAAATGGTAAACGTTGCATGCAATAATCATCTGTAAGTATGTTAAAAAATGTATCCTTAATTATTTTGATTAATTACTGTTGTATAGTTTTATTTAATCAGATTTCTTTTGGAGCATATATTGCGACATTTCAAAAATGCATTGATCGAAAGAACTGGTACATAGATAATTATTATTCTTTGAATTATAATTTTCAAATAATATTACAATTAGAAAATAAGACTTATTATAAATAAGCTACAAGGTTTAATGTATACTTTTCAAGTTTACCCATGTGTTGTATTTTCAAATCTCGTGCTATCATAAGCCAACTTGGAGATCACGCTTGGCGTCAGTTTCAGTGACGGTCAGTAAACGGTCAAGCTTTATTTTCTACCACAGGCGAGAGCACTGCACTGCAGTCCATGCCATTATGCATGTACTTGTAAATCAACATACACACATGTACACTGCAATATACACTACACGCCGTTATACATCCATTCACATGTACTTGCGCAGACGTGCATGGTCAACAGCTCTCTCTATCTCTCTCGTTCTCCTCAACTGAACCTGTTACGTTTTCCTTGGCCCCCCACGCTCATCCTCATTAGCGCCACATCATACATGCAGAGTGGGTAATCTTATAGTTTTTCCTAATTTCAGTTTTTCCATGTTAGGTATATTTGCTCGGGCCTGGCGTAAAAATTTTAACTTTAGAAATCAAACGCCTAGAACCTTAAGCAACATAAAATATGCGCAGCTCTAAGTTTGAGGTCTCCAACTTTAAAAACTATCGGCGAAACACCTCACTAAAATGGTTGTGTATTGAAGCGTCTACTCAACAATGATAAACTAGTTACAAATAGGCATAAAACGACAAAGGGACTATGCTATATAGGTATGCAACATGTGCGTATACAACAGCACGTGCATCTATAAATACATGTGTAAGGTATCTCAATAAATAAAAACGTTGTAAATGTTGTCAGCTTCTAGCTGTAGCGTTTGTATACATTGGCTAAACAGAGCTGTGCAATCTCCGTAAAATGAGTGTTAAGCCGTTAATTTTCAACGGGTGAGACTTTGAGCTGAGAGCTCTGCATTTATAGTGCTGTTGGAAGTCTCAGGCCTCTTATGTTGTTGCTTTGCACATAGTATTTAAAGGCTTCATTTTCGTATTTTGGATTTTAGTGACTATAAATTTTAAGGTTACAGCTTTTAAACTATTTTTTTCGTATACTTATGACTTAATCGATTTTTTAATAATTCCTTTACTGCTTTTGATTATCTATAATAATGACGTTTGTGTTGAAAAATCAGCATACAGAACAAAACTAAAATTGTATCTTTTAGGCTAATTACGTTTATTTATCAACTTTTGACTAAGAATTACGATTATCTTGACACTTTTTGAGAAACTAATTTTTACTTAAAAAAATAAGATCTTTTAATTTTTTTAACAGTATTTGTAAATTTTTCTGGTATTAAAGAAGACATTTTTTAGAATATTACAAAATCAATAGATATTTCTTATTACGTAGTAACGACTTTATTAAATAATTGAACACTCACTTTTTTCAGAACTATAATCGTGTTGAGTTAGTGCTCGTCGAAGACTTTTGTTGTTTCTGACATCCGGAAAACTACGTTTCAAACTACTTAGCATACCTGAAATACAAACAAATTCATGAGTACAAATAAAAGTTGCTACACATTATAAATTTAATTTCCTTATGAACGCTGTGTTTATTTTTGAGAAAAGTTCTAAGGTTCATAAATTTTTATGAAACCAGGTATCAAAATATAACCAACGAAATTTATTTACTTTTTAAAGGAAAAAAAGTTATCTATAGCTATTAAGCCATCTTAACAAATCCGTAATTAAATGTAAGAAGTATTAAAAAAAGTTAACTATATTTTTTTACTATTACTATCTTAAAATATTATTTAAACTAAGGATAAAAACATTTTACGGTTTATTTGTACTTCGTGAAATAATTTAAATATCACATTAAAAGTTTATCATGGCATTCAAATAATTTTAGAAAACCCTTTATTCTTTTTTTTACATCAAAATAAAGAACATCTGGCAATATTAAGCTTATATTTAAAACACAGATTATCTGCACAAGTACAAAGGTTTTGAGAATAGAAAACAATAAAGAGTAAGTTGCTAACATGTCGTATCAAGTTAAACAGTCACCTGGGACCACTGAGTCCACTGACTGAATGCGTTTAAGTAAATATCCATGTATAAGTGTAGATGCTTCTCTAGAGATTTTTTTGACAATTTTCCTTTGTAAATTTCCTTATTATTCAAGAGTTTTCAAAAAAGCTTATCATTTATTGCATGTTGTGACAAGGCTTTAACATTGATGACTTATTAAGAGTGAGACACAATGGCTAAGAAAAATTTAGTGTTAACAATTACAGACACAAAAGAGTCACGTTTTCCGCTATAATAAAAGCTAAGTTCTCGTATTTGGAAGATACCTAAGCACTCCCAGGAATGTTAACTTTTTTAACCTGCGATATTGGAACATAATTACTTATTTAAAATTCCTTAATATCTTCTTTTATGTATGCAATTTAAATAATTTCTTTTAACTTATTATTAGCTTATAATAAGGCCTTAGGTATTTATTTCATGCAAGTGTAGTCATACAGTATAATCCGATTAATAGATTATAGAATCCAAGGAATCAAAATTTTTATTTCGTAATGCTTATAGTCACTTTTAACAAGATTGAAAATGAATGGAAATTTATTTAAAAAATTAATAGTTTGAAATTACAAAAAAAATTTTTTAAAAATTAATAAAAGTGTCAGGGAACACTTTGTAAGAATAATCACACAATGTAAAATAATGAGATTGCTACTCAAAACTGTTAAGAATAATTTTAAAACTATTTCTACTCTGGGAAAAGTTTTTATTCATGTTCCTAATAAACTTAATTTTAATGGGTATAGCTTTTACCTGTTTCAGTGATTGTTTAAAAGGATTTTTAAATTATTGAAAATTTACATATTTTTCTTTGACCTTATATTTCGAATAACTTAATTCTTAAATTTCAAATGCTACACCTCTGTACGAAAAAAAAGCTTAGGTCTGGCACCTAAGTAGTGGCAGACTTCTATCCAGGAGGGTATAAAAAAGCTGTCACGCAGATAGAAGGGCACTTCCTCTTTAGAGTCAAGACACGATTTAATCGGTAGCTAGCTATGTAAAGAAGTATCAATATAAAGTGCTTATTGCTACCAAGATACGAGATTTTTCTTGCTGGCAAAAATTAATTTCTTTTCTCTTTAATACTGAATTCTCTAATAGAAATTGTTACCAAGTGCTTCAAAATTAGTTTTTTTAGAAGAAAAAATTATTTTATTAGTCGAAGTTCTTGATGTCTGAGTTATAAACCAATAAAACAGAACTATTTTGCTCATACTATTAACAGTGAGACAATGATAAAGAGGATTTATTTAAGAACTCCAATTTTGATTTTATAAGTCTGTATTTGTGTTCATTTGTTTTTACATTTACAAGTTACTTGTGTCTTCTTTAATTTATACTTATACAAAAATCTTTCCCACGTGTTTTCTTAAAAATTAAATCATACATAGTTAGTTATGTATACACCAATGGCTAGCTCAAGCAGTAGGCAAATATTATGACTATGTAAACCATTTTCCGAATAGTAATAAAAAAGCTCTGATGAAAAATTAGGGCAATATGCACGATATGGATGGAACGATCTGAATGTAAGATATGGCGTTAGGCATATTTATAAAAAGACTAGCAGCTATGGTCAGCCAGTAGGCAAAAGAACCTGCTACCTTAACAGATGCCTTAGATGGTTTATTAAGATTAAAGAGCCGATTAAGAGCAGGTATTTCAGATACCCAGCATCAGATAATACCTTGCAGTGATTTTTATTAACATAATTAACAAGACGAATGTAATAATTAACCATCACTACAACATTACATTAGACAAATTAGTTGTCCGTTAGTAAATGATCTTATTATATAATGTTAGTTCTAAGAAGCAATATAGTTATAATCCACATTCTTAAAAAGACTTTAGGGACAAAGAAGTCTACGTAATAAAAATTAACAAAACGGGAATTTGCAGATCAACTTTAATTAGTATAATAATGAGAATTACGATACTTAATGTGAATTACAAAATTAGAATTAAAATCTTTCAATCACTCAATATTGTTGGGGCAGAACTTATAATAGTTTTAATAAATTTAAGTTATTATAGTGATTATAATGAACAATATCTTAATTCTTGTTATCAAAGACGAAATTTTCAAAAATATCAACAGCCAGACGACAATTATTTGACACATCATTTAAACTTTCAGGCGGCTCATTCTAAACGTCGTTTAGAGGTAAGCCTTCAGCATTCTTACCAGAATAAAACGCTAATTACAAGGGCTTGAGTAGTAAATATTGCAGTACAATTGAAATTGTTTATATCCACATAAGTAAAATGCTTTAAGAAGACAATGAACTATCATGTATAAGATAACGCGTCCTTGAAAGCAGAAATCGGTATGTAACTTTTATACTGGCCAATAGAGCTGTGACAAACTTAGTTAAGTTGAAACATCTTGTTACGGCCAAAATAAATAACCAGCCCAAAAGACGTGTTTTTTAGTGAAAGTTGTAAGTAATTGTATACATACTGCACCGTGACCATTGGCTTGATAGTTATAAGTCATTATCGAGCGATAAATGACAAGTCTTGAGCAGCACCAAGTAATGTATAACTATGAGTGGGTTTTCGTTTAGGCTAACTGCCAGGCCGAGTTTGCTAAACAGACCATGAGTAAAAAAAGACTCTTACTCTACAAAGGACTCATAAACTGCACATTTATAATAATAAAGGCAGAAGACAATATACAGTATAAAAGTAAGCTAAAGGTTGCAACGAGATGTGTATGACTTAAAAATGTAAATGTATATCGGATTTATGAATGCGACACACAATGGCAAGAAAAAAGTTTTTTTTTGTAAATAAAATATCTTCAAAACAATTTTACCAATCGCCATGACTTTTTTTGGAGATAGCAGCTTATTTAACACAGAATATAAAAACAGTGGTCCAAGTTGTAAACACCCCCTTGCAAGGAAGTGAAAACAGCCCTTAAGGGTTGACACAACCCTTAAAAACATGAGAAAAAATTCAATCATTTATCCTAGTCAACTAAAAGTGTATTTGCTTAAATCATTTACGCACACTAAGGGTAAAAAAAGTAAGGGTGTAAATACAACCCTAAAAAACTATTTAATTATGAAATAGTAAGATTAATTTACAATTTTTAAGTAAAATTGTTACGAATCATTAAAAGTTTTTAGTGAAGATGCTAAGTATAATATAATTTAACGTAGGATACAGAAAACGTACTTCTGATTGTAAGCACCCTGTTTTGTAAGGAGCTGAAAATAGGCCTTGAAGGTGCTAAAATTTGAAGCAAGTTATGGAAAATTAGCATTATTAGCTATAATTTTTAAAAACCTTCAGAAAATTAAAGAAAGGGACAAAAAGCATCTTGAAAAAAAATCAGATAATGTAGACATGTTGTAGAGAGTCAAATTAACCCTAAAGTAGTTCCTAAACCCTAAAGTAGTATTTATTTAATAAAATCCCGTAAAAATTCGAGAAAAAGTTAAATCATTCAACTAAGTCAACTAAACGTAAATGTGCTTATATCACGTACACACTGTAAGGGTTCAAATGGCCTAAAGGTGTAAAAACAATTATTAAGCAATGTTAAATTATAAAATAGTAAGATTCGTTCACAATTCTTATATAATTATTAAGAATCAATGAAATACATAACACTGTTATGTTGGTATGTTGTAGGGGGTTAACACTACCCTTTGCTGAGCTCTAAGGGACAACTTATCAGAAATATTACGAAAAAAATTTTGTTTGATTGTCTGATTGTCTGATTAAGTTCAACATGAAGATTATTACACTACGTTTAGACTATATATAATATAATAACAGGGTTAAAATAGTCCCATATATTAGTTAAACTTAGAAAATTTTCTTCCGATTCAAACATCTTTCCTATGGTTATAAAGAGTCGCTTGAATTGCTAGAGAGGATATAAAGTGCTGAATAATATATTATATCACTTGTCATTTTCTTACAGATCTAGGGCATGAAATCTGCTTTAAAATAAGCTACAATAAACCGAATATTACAATTTTGGGTGAAAAAAATCATTTGTTCGCCTAAATGAGCTAAATGTTTGTAGTAAAACATAACAAAGATAATTTTTCAAATTAAAAAGACATAAGAGGAGTTCACAACCCCCGAAGGTTCTAAAATAACGAAATTTTAAAGACTAGTGTAATTGTCGTGTCTTGAATTACTAAGAATTAATTTTTTGTACGGAGGAGGATTATAACCTTAGGAAAAAAAGCTTAACTAGGAAAATTAGATAAAAACTTCTGTAAATAATTTTTTTACTTATTCGCAAACTGCACGCATAACATAAGAAACTGGAATTCTCAAAATGTGTTGACGCCAAACAGCCATAAAATATATTAAAATCCTAAAAACTTATTTACTGCTTACGTCTACTTACAAACACTGAAAAATGATCTTGTACTCCAAAAGTATCCAAAAAAACGAAGGATTGGTAGTTTAA